TTGCACCAAAAGCCCAGCGATGTCCAGCTGGGCAGAAAAGTGTCCGTTTAAAAGGAAGACAGAGTGGGCTGGGTGACAGGCCAGCTCAAGCTCCTGCAGTGAGGGCACAGCAACTGTTGCATGTGAACATCATTTCTTTTATTTTTATTTATTTGACCCAAAGGTTCCCTTTAAAGAGATCAAACTGTGACCTTTTGAGCATAATTAATGCATTTATATCCTAATAATAGCAGAGTCTAGAAAAAACCCAACATAAACAGATTTTTCTAAAGATCAAACCAAACTTCAGATGATAATATTGTGCAAAAATGTTTTAGGTCATTTGAAACTGCAGCTTCAAATTCAGCGATAAATAAAATAAAACATTCATTTGCGAGATTCCTTGAGTCGAGTAAGGGGCTCGTGACTTCAGAATGACCTGAATGATTCTGTTGCATCCTCATATGTACATGAATGATTACCAACCCAACATTGACACATTTCAAACTAAAGACAAGGTAAAATCAGACATCACTGGATGTGGTACCTGGTCTCAGAGTTCAGTGCTTTGACCCAACAGCCTGTGTAAACAATTCAAATGTATCAGTGATGGGGATAAAAGACAATGGCATGGGAGTGAAAAGGGCTGATGTTAAACTACACAGCAATGTCAAACATACCCATACAAGCTCGGAGCAAGTGCGGATGCTTCTCTGTAGCAAACCTAAAACTAATATACATTAGTATAAATGCTGGAGAGGAACATGACATACTGTTCATATATCGGGAATAAGAAAATATATGGATTCTAAAAACTACTTTTCTTTAGGACATAATGGAAGACATGTTAAATAAGTAAGAAGGTAATAAAATAAACAGTTCCTTTAATATTTTTCACCACTGCTGTGCTTCAAAACATCATTATAGACCTTCAATAGCAGCCTCAGATGAGTGCTGCTTTTGAAAGTGAGACTGAAAAGGATAAAAAATCTGTAATTTGTTGAGTAAAGTTTTGATTATTTTTTTAACAATCTAGTAGTAGTAGTATTTATTTATTGTCATTGTCAAGAACAATGAAATTGTGTTTGGGGCTTCCATACAACCCAAA